GAGTGCATAGTAGCCGCCAACAGCACTTCTGTTGATTTAGTGGTTTATTCGTATTGACAGTGTAAAGTGCGGACTATGGCATCGTGGTCTATGCTTACGCGTGGCTTAAACATAGACCAGTGCTTAGAAGAAATGGTTGATAAGGGGCAATATCGGTATGTGAACAGCATCGTGACAGGTGACGAGACTTGGCTCTATTATTACGATGTGCCAACCAAGGCTCAAAACAAAGTTTGGATCTTTGATGATGAGGACACACCAGTATCTGTCAGAAAGTCCCGATCTGCTAAGAAAAAAATGATAGCTGTATTTTTCAAATCGAGTGAGATTGTGGAGCGTGTCGTTTTGGACACACAGAAGACAGCTAAGTGGTACACGGAACAGTGAATGCCTAAAGTCATAGAGTCTATGAAAAACCTGCGGCCAAAGTCAAGAATGGGCACTTGGTACCTCCACCATGACAACGCTCCAGCTCACCGCGTCAATGCCTGCACCAAGTATTTGACCACTACCGGACTGAAACTTATTGAGCACCCTCTTTCCGCATGTGAAAATGAAGCTACAAGGAAAACGGTTTTGTAGCGATGCAGACCTTCTGAGGTCTTGGGACAACGAGTGTGCCGCACTCCCGGGTGAAACTTGGCTGGTTTAAGGACTGGTTTTGGCGGCTGGAAACGTGTATTGAATGTGTAGGAAATTACTTTGAACGAAGTCGATACATAAAGCTGTATTGCAAAACTTTTATAATTTTTTTTTCTAATCCTATCTTAACCCTTTCCGTTCTACTGGTCGATCCATGTAACCACCTATATTAAAACACGTAATTTCAGTCCTACTGGTCGGGTAGCCTTACCGCGGTTTAAAAGTATTACCGTTAGTGACATCTATCGGGAAAAAAATTGACGGCGCTGCCCTGTGCGAGGAAGTGTGTATTCCTTGAAGTTTCTTTATCCATTGCGAAGGTTCCGCGTGTGTCTTTTTTCGGCTGTTTGTAAACGTGAACACACTGAGTGAAAATTGAAATGACACGTCAGTATTTAGTTTTATAACTCTAATATTTCATACCTTCCGACTCAATTGATCAATTTACCATCTGACTGGGTTTTGTTCCATGTAATATGTAGTGGTTTCTTGAGGTAACCACTAGGACTGTAAGCGGTCATTTATTTTTTTTTTACAGAAAGAACTAAATGGAGTGGATGCAAAGTTTGGGTGCGGGCTGATGATTCAGGGTATATTTGCGAATTTCAAATAAGATTGGTGACTTGCCACAAAAAGATTTAGGAGGAAGAGTAGTCAAAGACTTGACAAGAGATTTGCAACAACAAAATTATAGAATTTTTTTTGACAAATATTTTTCAAGTGTTCCACTGCTCAGCTACTTGAAACAACATGGAATTATGTGGTTGTGGCACTTTGAGAAAAGGGAAATAATACTTGCCAGATGACTTTATCGATGATAAAAAACCAGCGCGAGGCCAATATGACTGGAGAATGACAAATGATATGTTGGTATGTCTAAAATGGAAAGACAAAAAACCTGTTTATTTCTTGTCAAATTACCATAACAATCAATAGAAAGAATAAAGATGGAACTGTGTCAGAAGTAACTTGTCCGTCTTTGGTTGTGGATTACAATAAACATATGGGTGCCGTCGATAAGGCGGACATGTTAAAAGAATGCTACGCGATAGATATAAATCTCATTGAATGAGTAAACTGTGTCCACGACAATTGCTCCAAAGCAATGTTGACCTGGTGGCTGCTATTACTCAGCCTAGACTAGAGACCGATCTGTCCCTAGTCCACGCTTCATCCCTTAAGTTTGATCCTCCTATAATGAGAACTCAGGTGTACCAGTAAAATAATCTGAAGAGTCAACTAGATGCCTAGATCTTAAAAAAATGTAAAAAAAAGATTCACACTCATGGGCGTCCATATAGCAGAATTTAGAGGAGGCAGGTTAGGCTTACAGGCCCAGTCAATCACTTTGAAGCAGAATTAGCAACTGTTTAAAATGGTGACAGGAAAAATAACTTCTATGTAGGGATGTTTTATAGAAAACGAGTAATCTATGAAGAATATTTTACTCTTTGATTGGTTCTTGGGTTGTTAGGTCATCGTAAACCATTTTTACTTGACGTTTTGCCGACACGAGTGTTTGGCATCTTCAAAAGATGTTCACAGTTTGGAGTCCTGTCGCATTTCATTACTTTACTCCTCAAGTGGAGAGCATATGCCACCTTGCCTCCCTAATGGGCGCCCATGTTCACACTTTACCTCAAAAACCCGTTCACTTGAACACTTTGTATCACCACATATTGTACAACACTTCACGTTTCCCCTATTAACATGATCGACCTGCTATTCCTAGTTGCGCTTTTAAACTAGCTAGGCGCTATCTCCCCATGCAGACTCACTCTACTACAAATGAGCAAGTGTCTATTAGATGGCAGAAATCTGATAATTTAAAAGCATCCAATGTTATGGGTGAACATCCGTTGTAAGTTACAACCGGAGGATTTTTAACGTGACGGCAACTCATGTAGCGTCGCTTTTAAACCGGATAGTGTGTATCCGGCCTAACATTTATTCGTATTTCCCCTCTCATTATGAATGATATGATTTAGGCTCGCGGATGAACTGATATACGAGGTTCTTGAAAACATCAATAGAAAAGAAGTTATAGGAGGAATCTATAAAAGTAATTCGAGCCTTTACGAGACAAGCGTTGAGCGACAGCCAGTCATTGTAGCTTGAATTTTTGATTCTTCTGACACCACATTATATTGTTGTTGCTCTTTGTTAAATTAATTCCCGGGATACACGTTTGCGCTATCTGCCACTTCTCTTATTAGACATTGAAATATTACCATTAGCTTATTAGCTGCACGTCAAAGAATACAGTTGAACTACACCCAAACCGTTATACAGCTACGAAATGTTTCTTCTTCCATTTTTGCCTTTGATTTTGCCCTTCATTATATTTCTTAACAGCTTGTATTTTTCTACCATCGTCGTATGTCGTTTATGTGTATGCATTGTGTATGAATTTTATGTTTTTATAATTGATCGATCACCAAAAATGTCATTGTATATTCTCTGGCTCAATAAATATCTATCTATCAATCTATCAATGCCCTAAATATCCAAACATTCTACGTTTTATTTTATTAACCAGTTCACAGTTATCTAGTCGATCCAGTTCTTGCAGATTTGTCGTAAGGCCCATTCTCAGAATGCCCTTATAGTTGAAAACCATGCAGGGTACACTTTATAAAGTCAAGTTGAGAACCTCGCATTCTGGTTTTGAACAGAAAGGTGTTAGATGAAATTTTAAAATTACAGCTGCTAGCCATACCGGAATATTTTTAATGAAATGGTGGTCATGGGTATCCCATTTTGAAGGTCCTTGTACGTACTTTGAAAATGATGGACATGCGGCCTGTCAAAGTTGAGCATTTTTGAACAATCAATCGTTTATAACTCTTCTCCTTTTGGAAGGGTATATCTAAATGTGCAATAAATAAAGAGGTATTCCGTTTTAAAAAAATGGCGTCAGGTAGATTGACTCTGCCCTTATCAGTAAAGGAATATGTTCAGCATCAGAAAAAAGGAAGTCCATACAATTGGTCCAATGACGTTTCCTGCCTTACCGGTAGTGCATCTGGAAACGTCGCCTCTCCCCGATACATAACTCGGGCAGACGTAGCACCGTGGGCGTGGTAGTGCGGCCAAAGCTTAGAAAACACTATGCTGTTGCTTGACAGAAATACTTGTGATTTCATAACAGAACACTCATCACAGTCTGCTCACGATGCTAGGAGCAGACGCGGCCGATGGGTAAAGAAATCCATGTGTGAAATATGTCTAGCATTGAGATAAACCCTCCTCACGCCCGCCTCCAGGTTTTTTAACCTTTAGATTTTTATTAAGAAACGATCAGTATCCTCTGAAGCGTCAAAAGCGAACTATGAGCGATTTTAATTTTTTTCGTTTTAGGCCTTTTTCATTCTTGCCACTGGACCAATTTTCAAAAACTACAAATCTTTTGCGTCTTTGTAGTAGTAATATTGTGTAAAAATTTCATCGTAATCCGAGCGGTAATAATATTAGCGGACAGATCGACAGACAGACGGAAATGAATAACATAGTTTTTCGTGATGTATATGTCATATTCAAAAAACATCATTTTCGAAATTTCTTGCGATTCCAGCAGCCGTAAGAAGTAAAACGACTGATTTTGACATTTTTTGGAATCAAATGTTTCACATTTTATATTGTATACTCCGATAGATACTTCCAAGAAAATATATAACATTCACTAGTCTGGAACGACAATGGAAATGATTCAATATTTTGATCCATCGATAGGCATGGATACTTGACAATACCTCAAGCTATTCGCGTTGATTATTTTCTTATATGTAGCATAACATTCTGATCTCAACTAATTATTAATAATAATTTTTAATAAAAAATAACAGAAGGCTAAGTAGCGTCCTTTACGGCAGTATATTAAAAATTAGAATATAATTTTTAATTTCCATGACGGTATCACAGCTTGAGGTTTAGATAAATAACGATGCCGAGAATTAAACTTTCTCATGAGAAAAAAACAAAAATATTGAGTTGTGTATTATATACATTTTTCATGTTGATGGAACTATCGAAAACCGCAATAAATTATCAATTGAAACTGCTTGACAAAAATATATACATTTTGTAGGATCAAGTTATTTTTTCAGATATGTTTTGCGTCGTGAAAACCAAATTTAACATTAAAAATTCGTATGACGATTCAGCTGCTAGAGATCCAAAATTGCAACTTAACCAATATTCATTTCTAAATCCACCTATATCTAGAGATAAATCGGCAGAGCCCTAAATCGTGAATTAAACGTTTTAGTTCTTCTTTTCTATATATTGTTTTCATACTAAACATTTTTGAAGCACTAAGATTATGACATTTTGTGCAAAAAGGCATCGTGAGCTTTCAGTCAGAGTATGCCATGGATGAGAAATCCTATTTGTTTGATTGTTACCATATTTGGTTGCGGAGGATCCAAATCCCTAGAAGATGGAATTGCTTTTGGTAGTTCTGCAAACATGTTTCTGATATCGTCTGTATGATGTACATTTTTTTGCAAATCCACCTCTGGTATCTAGAGATAAATCGGATGAACCGTACATCGTGAATTAAGCTTTTTAGTTCTTCTTTTCTTTATATCATTTTAATACTAAACATTTTTGATGTACTAAAATTACGACATGTTGACCGAAAAAGCAATGGGCTTTTGACTAAGAATATGCCACCGGTAAGAAAGACTGTTTGTTAGATTGTTGCCGTATTCGGTTGCGGCGGATCAAAGTACCTAGAAGATGGAATTGATTTTGGTACTTCTGCAAACATGCTCGTGATATCGTCTGTTTGATGTACATTTGTTTACAAATCCATCTCTGGTATCTAGAGATAATTCGGGAGAACCGTACATCGCGAATTAAAATTTTTAGGTCTTCTTTTCTGTATATCATTTACATACTAAACATTTTTGATGTACTAAAATTACGACATTTTGGGCCTAAAAGCAAAATGGTCTTTTGATTTACAATATGCCGCCGCGCCGGTAAGAAATCCTGTTTGTTAGATTGTTACCATATTCGGTTGTGGTGGATCAAAATACATGGAAAATGGAATTGGTTTTGGTATTTCTGCAAACTTGCTCGTGATATCATCTGTATGATGTACAATTTTTTATAAATCCACCTCTGATATCCAGAAATAAATCGGAAGAACCGTACATCGTAAATTAAGCTTTTAAACATTTTACTTCTTCTTTCTGTACCAAACATTTTTGATGCACTCAGATTACGACATTTTCTGAGAACAAAGTGGGTCTTTAATTTCGAATATGGCATCGATAAGAAATCCTGTTTCTTGGTCGTGATATAGTGTGTATGATGTAATGATACTTAATTTAGGAATTACATGAAAATTTTAGCCATCCTTCACCAGCACACATGCAGTTTGTAAGTCACTGAAAATCCCGAAAGCACAATCACAAATTCACTTCACCGTACCGCGATTTGTTTCTTGAAGGGTCAATTGTGTCTCCTGCAGCAGAGAGCAGTTCAACGTATACCGACTAACAACTACCGAGTACGTATTCCGAAGCACACTTGATTGTTCGACAAACACAATTAGTATTAGTAAGTCGGAAGGCTAAGCCTGAATCTGCACTGCCACTATCACATAACCATCACGACTGAATGGCACTTGCTAGTTATAATGAAGTGTTTTATTGAATTTAATCTGTGGTTTAATAAAGGATATCCTACATCCAATGATACTTTCAACAGTTGTGTTTAAAATTTAATCACCAGCAGTTTTATATTAGCTTCCCCCCTTTTTAAATGACAGGGGAAGTAATATGTATTCGTTTCTGCGGCACTTCTTTCCCTTCCTCTCCGTATTTTGGCAGATCACTTCCAGTGACAGGCATGAGAAGCGTTGCATAACATGGTGGTGCCTTACCTACCCAACATTGATCACAATAGTATGCGTACCTTGGCGTAGAAGTATGCCATTATGGTCCGAGAATTTTTTTATCCGCATAGCGTTAAAGAATACAGGTTGTTAATGTTATGGCTTTATAGTTTACAACTTTAAGTGCTTTATATCGACCACAATCACCACAATCTTACTAATTTTTGCAATCTAATCTAAAACGTTTTTAAATTGGGTAATTAACAAATAAATGGCATTAAGTTTTTCTAAGTTAACCCAAATTTGTAGTCAGTAAGTAAATTTCATTAAATTAAATATTTAAAACACACATGACAACAGCGCGTCGGTTTTTCACCACTCTTATCGAACCAGCAATCGATCGCTAACGGTAATAGTGGTTAGTATGTTGTTTTGTTTTCGTTCGCGTACGTCGTCGCGTTTACAATGTTCTCGAATCAAGAGTTTGCCGATATGTTGTTAGTTTACGGTGAAGCTCATCAGAATTCAAATCTTGCAGGTCAAATTTATCGCGACAGATTTCGCCAACGGGTACATCCAGACAGAAGGACATTTGTGCAAGTGTACCAAAGACTTCGAGATACAGGTAGTGTTCAGCCCACTAATATTCGCACTCGTGAAAGACAGGTTACTGTAGAGAAGGAGGAAAAATTTTAAATATCGTGGAAATCAATGCAGATATCAGCACTCGGGAACTGGGCCGCCGCGTAGGACTATCGCATACCATAGTCTATAGAATCCTACGGGAAAATTTGCTTTATCCCTACCATTTACAAAGAGTGCAGGCCTTGTTACCAGAAGACTATCCTCGCAGACTAACATTCTGTCAGTAGTTTTTGCACAAAAACATTGAAAATCCGGATTTTTTTAAAAACATTCAAGCGAGGGACGAATGTACTTTTACGCGAGACGGGTTATTAAATTTCCATAATACTCACACGTGGGCCCAAAAAAATCTTCATGCCATTCGTGAAGGTAATTTCCAACAAGGTTTTAAAATAAATATTTGGGCGGGTATTCTTGACGATCAGGCAATTGGCCCTTTCGAGTTACCCCCCAAGTTGTCAGGAGAAGGATACCTTAGCTTTCTAGCCAATAACGCACCAGAACTTTTGGATCAGACCTTAGACAACATGCCATTACAACGGAGACAGAATTTGTGGTTTCTTCATGACGGGGCACCACCACACATTTTTAGAGGCGTCAATCAGTATTTGAATTATCCAAATCGCTGGATCGTTCGAAATGCTCCTGATCCTCGAAAATGGCCAGCAAGATCTCCTGACCTCAATCCGATGGATTTCTGGTATTGGGGAGAACTTAAAGGGATTGTTTATGGGGCTGGTCCAATAACAACTGAAGCACAACTTCGCAAAAAAAATTTTAATGCGGCTGAAATAATAAATGGACAACTTCGAGGACCTGGAGTAAGAAAAAACTGGGTTCGTCGTAATGAAGCTTGTGTGGAAAGTGGAGGAGGACATTTTGAACACCTTCTTTAAACACAAAAAAGTGCAGTGTGGGTTTTAAAAAGAAAAACAATGTATGTATCAAAATTGTGTTCCCTATTTATTATATATTAAGTGGATTTTTTTAATACGTTCAATAAACTTTCACACAACAGATGAAGCGCTGAGACAGTATGTGGTGGCATTGCGGAGTTGTCAGATTTTATTTTACTTTAAAGTCGCTTTTCTCTAAAAAAAATGCCGTTTTGACCCCCATGTTATATGAAACTTTTTAGTTATTTTAACCCCCTCTATCACCCATTTAAATAATTACTATCATAATGTTTACACCCTGTAGATCAACAAATGCATCAAATTCATTATAGAGATTTGGTTCGTCGGACTGACCTGAGGTTTCTCCATATTGTGCTTTAGAATCAGCTAATGGTGATGCGGCTAAAACTTCAATATCGCACAGTTCATTGCTAGTTTTTGTAGGGGTATCAATGCGAATTCGTGATAGAGCATCTGCATTTTTGTTTTTTCTACCAGGGCGACAAACTATAGCATAATCATAATTTTCTAGGGCTAGACGCCATCTTACTTAGCGACTGCCTGCATCTTAAACATTAAACCCTTATAAAGCAGAATTATCTGTAATTAATCGAAAATTCATCCAAAAAGGTCACCTCGCCAATGGCGAACACTTCAAACGATAGCAAGAGCTCCTCGTTCCACTGTTGAATGATTTTGTTCGATTTGGTCGATTCAAAGTTCTAGAAGCATATGCAATAGGACATTATCTACCAAAAAATAGTACAGCACCAACAGAATAAGCGATGCTGTATGTATTAACGATAAAAGGTTTACCAAAATTTGGATAAATTAGTTCATGGGTTGTTATTAAAGCTTTTTTCAAAAGTTCAAAAGCATGTTAACAGTTATCGTCAAAATGGAATGTATATATATGTATATATACAAAGAGAAAATTATCATGCGGAGAAAGGTATATAACAAAAAATAGGAAAATAATGGGCAAAATCCGTAAAAAGTGGATTCGAGCAGAAAATAGGATAGGTAACCCGAGCGATACGTATTTCTGCCGGTTGGCTTCATCAGGCCCGAAATGAATGCACATTTGTAACTAAAAAAGTAGATACACATGCCCATACATCCAAATGCGGGTGTAACCTGAGGAAACGAAGATGGAGAGGGAAAAATCATACACGAGGTCCACAACAAGAGCCAACCTACACATTGTAGTATAAAATGGCTAGAAGACCTTTTCAAGGCGACATCTAACCACAACCACGCGGCCGGTTATAGCCTCTTGCTGTGGTACTTCAAGCCCAAAGGATCTACAAAGAGAAAATGGTCATGCATTATTTTCCTATTTTTTTGTTATATACCTTTCTCCGCATGATCATTTTCTCTTTGTAGATCCTTTGGGCTTGAAGTACCACAGCAAGGGGCTATAACCGGCCGTGTGGTTGTGGTTAGATGTCGCCTTGAAAATTGCGGATTTTGCCCATTGTTTTCCTATTTTTTGTTATATATATATATATATATATATATATATATATATATATAAGTTATGATATAGGGATACAAAATATAAGATAATTTCATTTATTTATGACTTGTTCCGAAGTAGTCAAGGCAAAAGTGGGAACACTGAAATGGATCGTTCAGCGATTCTAAAGACGAACTGGAGTCTGAAAAAATTTTATTTTATAATGTTGCCGATGTAATATTTTTCTTGAGCCTACTATAGTTAGAGGAAACGTTTCTTGCAACTTGAACCAAAACGTTTGGCACGTTAACTCATTTTATAATTGCACGTAAAAGGCACTAACTGGAAGCAACTATCAACCAGATCACCAACGTCTACTCTACCGTGGTGAGCAATAAATTGATTTGTGCAAGTAAAACAGGAACGAACAAGTCAAATCGGACCGCCATGGCCTACTAGGCATATGTTTCCCGCCACGCCACGGCGGTCCCTGGGGACCGCTAAACATTTTTTTGAGAAAACAGATAAAGAGATCATAAATAAATGACTCAAACGTATTTCTGCAGACTGTAAGTCATAAGCAGAACAAATGATACAAAATTGGACTTTGGCCAGATGGGCATTTTTCTAAAATTTCCCTTGGCGCTTAACGTGTTGAATGTGGTAGAAATATAGAATCTACTATTTTCTTGGAGATCGAAGGTTTGAAATTCAAATTTTTGAAAACAACATTTTGTTCTTTTGCATTTGAATTCAAGACTGTTGTCAAAAAATCACCATGCTCGTCAACTTTGACTATTTCGTTAGGAAGACGTACGGGTACTCTACCTACATTATCGGAAATTAGTACTGCTTCCGTGTTTCTAATTTTACTGTTTTTATGGAATTGCAAACATGTAAAACCTCTTGAAAATGACGCAATTTTGATAATTGGGGTTCTACAGGGTGATTCACAAGTTGTGACCGAAAATGAAACATCATACACAGGACAGCATTTTGAATTAAATTAAAAAAAAATAATATCTTCAAAACCGTCAACTGGAATGAGCGAAAATTTGGTATGTGAATTTATCTAAGTACTGTCCACATTCAAAACTCTTTACTTAAAATTCACGAGCACCAGTGGCGGAGATACAGGGGGTTAGTGGCATTATTTTTCCAAATAAAAATAGTACACCACTGTTTTTTCGGAAACGCGCAATTTTTCGAATTTTAGCTTCAATTTGCTACAAATAATTACTCTTGTGTTTATTTTTTGTAAAAATAAAAATAAAAGAAATCAGAGCATTCATGAAGATCCGAGATACAATTAGTATCAAAATAAAAAAGGAGTCCTTGATACCAACTTGACGTTTCTTGGGAGAGAGTTTGTCAAAGTTATGTTATACGGTTGTTAATGTTACTACTACCATTTCTTTTGCAAAAGTCAAGTCAAAAGTTCTCTTTTTCCACTTTTGAGTGTTGTGAAATAGATACAACAATGATGAGTACGCCGATATTATTTTTGTGTACGGGTTCTGTAATGCTTTAGATTTTCTAACAGACGTCAACCTACCCCAAACGATTTCACTAATTTGTTTTTTTTATTGTTATGAATACAATGCACTCTAAGAAAAAAACACAAGAGTAATTATTTGTAGCAAATTGAAGGTAAAATTGCGCGTTTCGAAAAAAACAGTGGCGTACTATTTTTATTTGGAAAATCCCCTGTATCTCCACCACTGGTGCACGTTAATTTTCAGTAAAGCCTTTTGAATGTGGCAATACTTAGGTAAATCCACATACCAAATTTTACTTCAGTCCTGTTGACTGTTTTGAAGGTATTAAAAAAATTGTTTTTTATTATTTAAAATCTTTTTAAAGCAGCCCTCGAGGAAAAAATGTTAAATAGAAGACCCCCCTTATAATGCGATCCTGTGTATGATGTTTCATTTTTGGTCACGAGTTGTGAATCACCCTGTATAGTCGGATAATATCTCGCGGAGGTACCACCCGGCGGTTCTCGTAGGCGGAGCCAGAATGTGTGCATGTTGCATGCACACGTGTTCCCTCGCCAGAGTCCGTGTGGCGTCCCCCCTTTCCCATGTATCCCCCATAGCCCCACGGCACCCAATGGGTGCTTAGGCCTCAGGCCTTCGTGGTAGTTGGAGTATAAAAAAAAATATCTCATTTTCTAAATGTTTCGCGATTATAATACTTCCTCGGCAATTGGCGTAGGAAGTCAAATATACAACGTCTTGCAAAGTTAATTTGTTGCATACTGTAAACAGGTAGTGTTAGCAAAATGGATAAAATGTCTAGTATGGTCTCGCTGCTATAACAGAAGTCCATTTTGATAGCAGAAACCCGATTTTGTAAGTGAACTGGAAAAATCATTAAAGCACCCTGTATGAGCATTATCGAATCCTCGAAAAGCATATAATTCAACTGTCGCTCGACAATAGCAACATACCCCATCGATTCCGTTTTCCCGAATGTTTATTTTTAATCTTCTCCACGCGTTTTTATAAAATTTGGCCAGCTGCTGGAAACGCATTCAAACACTATACGTAATTATTGCGAAATAGGGGAATGAATTTACGTAAAGGGGTACATTTTCACAGAAAAAGGGTAGTTTAATGACAAACAGCTATTGAATGGCCGGCTTTGGACGATTTTAATCTTTCCAGATTTGTGTAAAACCCGAGGCACGTGCGATGGGGACCCTTTCTGTTGCCATCAGGTCCTTTGTTGATATCTGTCACGAGCTACGTTCTAGGCACAATAAAAAAGCAAAGGGAGCTGTAATGATGAGGGTTCAGTTCTATACCTATCACATTTATCAATTTTTTCCACTATTCTTACAAAAGTTTAAAATGTACGGGTTTTGCTTATACAAGATAAGTCCCTTAACTGTATGGGAAAAAATATCAAGTAGTCTGACTCGGTACTTCCCATCATGAGAGCAAAGTGGGCAATGGAAGAAATATTTGAGTACTATGATCGCTGGGGGCTTAATAAGGATGTGTGATAAGGAAGTTTGGCGGTAATTTGGAGCGAACCCCATCCTCAATCAAATACAATACCTTTGCCTCAATCTCAATAAAACAATAATGGCCTCATTAAAGAAATAATTATTAAGGCTAATCGTGCAACTTACGCTCTGTCCCCAACCATTGAGCCGTATTCATAAAACAAAGGATATCCTTGTACTTGCAAATTTTGAAGAAAATCCTCCAGATGGTATTTATAATAATTTGAAATAAATGCTTTTGCTTTTTGAGTATAAGCATATCCTTCAAAGCAGTGACATAAGTAAAAGGATATTCATAGCCTTCACCTTACACTAGGCATAGGAAGCATATCGTTCAAAAATGCTGAGTGTGGTCAGTAGCAGACTCAACTTCGTAACGAAAAGTGGTCAAACGATGATGGCGGAAATTGTGGATATTAGGGATGTTAAAACGTACAAACCTCGTTTACCTTCACTTGGTCGTGACTTCAAAAAATTATATCGGTTCGACGAAGCAAATGTACAATGGCTTGCGGACAGATTTTTAGTTACGAATGAGGAAACTCGAGAAGCAGCATGTATTCATAAAATGAAGATATGTCTACGCTATCTCGGTGAACCTGGATATCAACAGGGTATTGGTCAGAAACTTGGTGTTAGTCAAGCAACGGTATCTCGGACTGTGGAGGCCAAGCGGATATGGCAAGCATGTATAAATTTCCGACAGCAATTGGTGGAATTGATTATACACATATAGGAACCCTGAAACCAAATCGCCATGGAGATGAGTATATCAACCGAAAAGGGAAACCTACTTTAAATGTGCAAGCCACTTGTGATGCCAGAGAGATGTTCACAAATGTTGATGTCAGTTGGCCTGGATGAGTGCATGATTCCAGAATATGGAGAAATTCAGACACTAGATCAGAACTAATAAATAAAACAAATGTTGTACTACTTGGCCATGACGGTTATGGTATTGAGCCATGCCTTATGACTCCCTTCAGAAATCCTACTCCAGGTGCAGACATAAATTATAATAAGCTTTTAAAACAAGAAAGAGTTATAATTGAACGCTGTATCGGCCAACTGAAACGCCGGTTTCCTATCGTACAGTACAGTATGCTTGCCGCGTAAAGTTGGAAAATGTGCCGAAAATAATTATTGCTTGTATTGTACTCCATAATGATGCGAAGAACTTGGGCGATCCTGACTTTAAGTTAGTTGAACAAGACCCAGATCAAGATGAAGGAAATCATGAGAATGACGAACTTCTTCTCCGCCAACCAGGTCAACAAATAAGAAGAAACATGAGTATTTTAATAAATAGTTTTACTGATTAAAGTGTATTTATAAGTTATAATAAGTTTTATTTTCGTGAACATCATAAGTTACAGGTGACTTCTGTCGCTGCATCTTTTCTAATTTCGTTTTATAATACTCTTGTTGTAAAATACTTGTTTGGTGCTGCTACAGCTATTACAATAGCACTAGACGTGGCAGTTCTTTTGTAGTTAACCCTTTGGTTTCCTCAGTTTCGTATTTCTCTATTCTTCTATTTCTAATTTTCTGTTTGGTGGCATTGTCTTCTGAATTGCTGGCACTGTAATACTAACTGTTTGCTCACTGTGCTCGGTATATAGTTCACTTCCTTCTTCTTGAACACTACCAACCTGAATGGCACCTCTAATTTGCCCAATTGTAGGATTACAGTCACCTTCCATAACTTTCAGCAACTTTCTTTCCCAATCTAATAATTTAATTGCTTTATTACCAGTTTTTTTTATCTGTTTTTTTTTCAATCTTGATTTCATGTTGTTGATTTTTTTAATAAGCCTTTAGTATCTAATGGTTTACCGAATGTGATTCGTATTTTTTCAACATCTTCAATACATCATCCTTTCTCATTTTTATTTTTGGAACTTGTGAGTTTTGCAAAATAATGGTAACAATGGTAGTTTCATCTGCGATGAACTGCAGGTCGTTGCCCTTATTTTCTATAGTTTCCTCATCACTTGGGGATAGCATGCTTATTCATTTGATAAAAAACGGTATCCAGTAAAACTACGGAACGGTCTGTGTAAGCTCTGGAGTACAACTGTCAGTGATGCTGAGTGAACGAACTCCCACGTCAACTACAAGCTGGAACAAGTCAGGACATGTCGCTCAAGATACAAATACCAGTCAACCTTTTACTTCTTCTTGGAGGATATCCTCGCGAGAATAAGGTAATCATTATGAATATGAAAACAAGGATATGCTTATACTTCTACCTTTTTCTCTGAAGCAAGACCTTATACTTTTCCTTATGCTTCCGAGGATATGCTTCTCTTTCATGAATACGGCTCCTTGGCTTCAGCTTGAATATTCCTATAGAATGCCAATAATTCCTGCCCATACGTTAACCGAAAATTGGGGTTGGAAATGGGTTTCGGTTACGGCATAGGGATTTTCTTCTGCCCACAAATCGTCGGTCTCCGCACGTACAGAAGTAAATGATAAATAATCTAAAATCGAGTTACGCCGTAATTTCACATATTTTTTGTAGTCTCTAACTTCACGAAATGACGTAGCTGTATATCAGTTCGCTGCTAAGGAATAAAATTTTCAGAAAATTGCGTAAGTTATAAAATTCCGAAAACAAATTTCACGGATCGGCTTAAATAGATTTACGCCTCTGCGTTAAAATTGGTTCATTTTAGTGTAACAAAAAAAAATAGCAACGTGCAGACTAAAAAATCAGTATGTCATTTTCAATCTCATTTATTGCTGATTTTCGTTTTCTAGCTCTCCTGTAAAATTTGTAAAATGTTAGTTACGCCGGTACGTGCGGAGACCGACGAAATGATTATTGTAGAAATTCTGAATAGCATTTCGAGAAAAATTCGCTTCGTCCGTGAACAGATCATTGATTCAAATTGCGGATTTTGTGTAATTTTTTGTAGATACCACTGACAAAAGGTCGCACGCCTTGGGAAATCAATGGGAAGTAATGCCTGTACCCTTAAAATATGGTAAGGATATAACAAAAAATCCACTAAAATTCTCCAAACAATTTGATGGCAAATATTTAAGTGTCTAGCGATCTTCCTGGTACTCGTTTCAGGATGTTCTTCGACTTCGTGCAGCACTGCTTCCTCAATTTCAGGTGTTCTCATACTTAGCTCTACCTTCAGATGTTCCTTTTCGGACAGAACCAGTTTCAACAAGACGACGATGAATATTAGAAAAGGTTCGGGATATCTCTGGTGATAAATCCGTCTGGCTTGCTCACATCACCGTCGGCAAGGCCATATACGTAATGCATTTTCGCCTTTTCTGCATTTGAATAATTCACAATTATTAACAAGATTGTATTAACTAAATAATGAATGAGATGTCACAGCGAACAGATTTGAATAACAGAGACTTATCAGATGTCAAAAGCCAGTGACATATTCCAGAGCAAATAGATATTTATTGCTAAATTGCATTCTTCAATTATTACGTATACATTAATTTTCTTGGACAATAGAACCGTTTTTATTTTTTTACTCGAAGGAAAATAAATCAAGAGAGATCATTTGTTTTAAATTGAACGGGAAATTTAAAAATAATTTTTATTTAGCAGAAAACCATTGGCGTACCATTGGTTTCTTAAAAAATATCGAAGTCAATACCCATGCGCACGCCACTGTTAAAGCTAAAAATTAGTTTTGCATTGAAAAATATGCAACTTTATTAACTTTCACTACGTACTTAATATCAGTGAAATATCTGAAGCGGTTCTGAAAATATTAATTAATTTCCATTTTTTTCCTAAAACTTCAACACCCCGAGTTTTTGTAAGGAAACATCTTTGGACCATAGTTTATAAAGCAAACTAACATTAATTTTTCGTGTAGATTCACACCCTTAAATATTCGCATATCATTAAGGAACACCCTGTAGACACTGGCTTTCGGTTATTTTTTCTAAGAATTTGGTATGTGTACACGTAGAACGAAAGTACCGATGAGCTCAAAGATTTTCCACGGATGGTTTCTGAGTTTCCAAGTTGGACGTTCCGTCCCACATTACAACGTATTGTGGGTTCGATACACGGTAAGTGATACAGGGTGTCCAGTGGGAAAGTTCACATTTCAAATTTGAATTACACGGCAACCGTATACGGGAGGAAGTGGGGAGAGGTCTTGATCGACGCGTTCGGCGTACAGGTTAAATAGGCACAATATAACGTTGGACCGGAGCACAACGTGCTTTTGCTATCGAGGCCTACATTAACTGTGCTGATTCATACGCAGCTGCCTGTATACGATACAACATTCGCCGACCAAGAGATGAACCAAGTAAAAGCCTATTGAAAAAGTGGATTAAGAGGTTCCGTCAAACAGGCTCTACTCTTAGTCAACCCATTCCTGACCCCACACCTACTGTAAACCGAAGAAAATGTGCATCGAGTAAGTGATTCGGTCATAGCAAATCCTCGGCGTTCTGTACGGAAGCATTCCGTTGCTTTGGGAATCCCTAGGTCAACACTGCATGGCATAATGAAGGAAAAATGGGTTTTCATCCTTATAAAATCCAATCAGTCCATGCTTTAGAGGAAAGTGATTACGTATTACGGAAATCTTGAGCTGAACGGATGTTGAATCTTTTTCCTACACAGCGCAGACTCGAGAACGTTGTTTTCACTTAGACGGTTATGTGAACAAGCAAAATTGGGCACCAACGAACCCAAAAAAAAAAAACAACAGCTACATAGTCCAAAGATTTGGTGCGCCATATGCTCTAGCGGTTTTCTTTGACGATGAGAACGGTCATGCATTGACAGTCAATTCCGAGCGATACAAGGACATGATTGACACTTGTTTTGCTCCTATTGTAAGAGCAGAACGTCAATTTAGCAGAAACACATCGTTTCAACAGGATGGGGTCACTGTCCATACTTCCAGAGAATCGATGAACACTGTGAAAACACTTTTTCCTCAAAAAGTTATATCCAAGTTTGGAGACATTCACTGTCCTCCTAGGTCACCCAACCTCACGCCATGCGATCATTTTTTGTGGGGTTATCTAAAGTCAGCAGTTTATTCCAATAATCCGCTGGAGGAGCTTAAAAACAACATTCGACGAGAAATAAATAACATCACTCCGGAATTCTGCAAGAGAGTGTTTCATAATTTGCGCGCGTGATTAGAAGAGTGTTTCTGAAGGGATGTCAAACATTTGGACGGAATGATATTTAAGAAATAAAACCCGCTGAATTTACGAATATCTTGATAGTAATAAATATTTTCATTTCATTAAGTTTGTATTTTTTTTCTTAAATCAAAAAGTGAACTTTCCCACTGGACAGCCTGTAGCTGTGTGAGATTTATTTACGTCCTTATATTTATCTCTGCTGGCTGACTTAACAGCAATTCTATAATGGGTTCAGGATGGACCAGACTCGTATGTATAGAAACATTAACTTTTCCAAGATTATCCTGTGATAATGCATTTCAAAAATATGCAGGGTTCTACAGGGTGTTCCACTTTAAATCTGGATAACAAAGTGGCTTTTTAATAGATACCTGTAGCTTTAAAAATAAGACACACCAAAATCGACTAGTGCTAGAAGCATACAGCTGCTCAGCTGCTATTAGTTGAAACTGTTAGGGACCCCAGCTCGTGTTTAATAGCAATCTGGCCGCTAGATGGCTGTAACGAAGATGTGGTTGGTGTGATAGATGTCGCTTCGCACGGTCTTATTTCGATAGACCGTACCTGCGGTATAGAGGATAGTTGCGATGTTTTACTGGCTCAATCTAGACCGTGCTGATGGCCAAGAAGCACGAAACAGCTGTCCTTGGTTGGCGGACGAAAGCCTCATGTTTGGTTTGACCTATAGTTTTATTGCATATTTTGAGAGACCTTCGTACTTCTGAGCTTTGTCCAGTAGTTGCTGAGATAATAGTTATTTATTATCTTATAGTCTTCAGTTCTCAAG